TCGAAACGACGGTTGACGGTTGGGGCCGTGCTCGCGTCGACGGCTGCTGCTACCGCGGCTCGCGCTACCTCGGCCGATTTCGCACACCCTCGTCCAACGTCGACGATGCTCGGCTCCTTGTATCGTGACGTCGCGCGGGGACGCGAAAATCCCGGCGGTGTTTGGTATCGATCGCATGCGCCAGCGCACGCGAGCACCGCTGCGGCGCGTCAACACGCGCCTTTCTCGACTGGCGTGAGGGTTGCCCGACACGTGGCTCCGTTTCCGCCTAACAATTGTTTTTCTCGTAATCCTAGAACAACGTTTCTCAAACTCCGCTTCGCGAGGCCAAACGATTTTCCTAACTCATCTCGTACGGTATACAGCTCGCCCAACATGGTTCCTATCATTGCTCTTCGATCAAGGAATAAAAAGATATTGTTGGACGCATTATAGTAACTAGAATGTGGTGAGGAAAATATTAAAATTGATCTCAGCTTCTTTTTAACATTAACAATACGCAGCAAAAAAAGTGTAAAAATCATTCTCCCCGAATTCAACATTTGTCATTTTGTTTGCACACGTATTCTTACATTGTATTAGAGTATTCGAAGCCAATGTTCATTATTATCCGTTATAAAAAGTTGCTATTTCAGACAGTTATTATTAGATCTAAAGAAGACTCGGAGGAAGACAGAAAAAAACAAAGTTCCTTTAATTTCCTTGGCTGACTCTACCAAGCAATTATTTTATCAAAATAGATTAAGCAAAATTGACCAAAATCTGACGTGACCGTACACTGGGCTTAGAGTCAGTCCCGTTTTCTCTTAGTGAATTCGATTCAGAAGGGAGTCAAGAGTCATCGTTTAAACTACTCCTCTCATTAATACATACATTATTGACAAAGCCAACTGAATACGATTTTTCATGAATCCATTTTTCTCCTTATAGTAGAGATTTTGATGAAATGGGTTTTTCGTATTAAATATGAAATAAAATGTCATAAATTTGTTAAATCCTACTACAGAAGAGATTTTTTCATATTTCTGTCTTTTTGAGAATAGCTTGACACACAAGATTGGTCACAGATGACCAAGAATTCAGTCTTTGCGGATCCTTTGATCGATAAAGATCTCGCGATTTCCTCTCCATCTTTGAACCATTGCTGATCAGTTCTGGCTGCTGATGACCAAAGATAATCATTACTGCCCTATTACTGCCCATTGCTCACCACTGATGTGCATTATCAAAAACTAATTTTCTTTACTCTCCATATATGATTGCGTTGATTTATTTCATTTGTACTTATATTTCATTTTACTTAATCGTGTTTGTACTTTATTTTCTCAATATTACGTTTTCTTCATTTCATCAGTTTTGCATGAAACGAAAAGAATGCATGGAGTTTCGAACATTCTAATACAATCTAAAAATATGAATGCAAACGAAATGACAAACATTGTTGGAGAACGGTTCTTACACTTTTTTTGATTCTGTGTATCGTTAATTTTAGAAAGAAGCTGAGATAAATTTTAATGTTTGCGTTCATCACATTCTAATTACGATAATGTATATCTTTTTTATTTCTTCATCGAGAGAAAATAACGAAAGTCTAGTTTTTGCTTTAAATAATAATAAAACCCTTTTTTCCAAATCACGAATACTACCCAAATTTTAGGCTTTGAAACTAATTCGACCTCATAACAGCGGACAATGAACTCTGACAGCTCTGACGCGACATTGCTTCCGGCATGATAGTTGATTCGTCAACAACCGAGAATAATTGCATTACGAACTAGTCGTTTTGTTTATCACCTAATGTACGCTCGTTATCATGGAATTCGTTACACGCAGTCAATTTCAAAACGATAATACGCGTACGTCGGCGTCGTTAAGCTGTTTATCGTGAAACAGTCGTCAATACTAGCACTTTCATTTAATTACACGATATCGGCTTATGTTAAATGTCGTGGTCTGCGCGGACTGGAACTAGCCCAATTACTCGGTGTTGTAATGAGTTAAACAGACCATACACTTCGTACATTCCACCGCTAATCTATAACTCTATAAAGTAATCGAATCCAATACGAACCGAAATTGCAGTTGCTTCTACCTAACCGAGGTATTTGAAGCTTGCAGCGTTCGCAAGGGGTGGGTGCACCGCCCCAACGCTCGTCGAAAACGCTGACATCTAACGGAGGGTAAAAGAAGTGCGACGAAAGAAAACCCTCATCCCGAAAGACCAGGCAATAGTCAGCAGCTTTCCACGCAAGGGTAGCCACCCTGCTCCCGATCCCTTTCAAACTTTTCGAGCTTTCTTTACCGACCTTCAGTGATAACGTTACAGTCCCACGAACGACCACCGCCTTTCGATAAAGATGCCTAACGCTGGACGATGACTATACTCCGATCGAACATTATCGATTACGGAACAATATGCTAGGAACACTAAAGGAATCGGTGCATAGTGAACTATGTGGTGCTGCATACTGGTGGCTGGGATTGGAACATTGCTTTAGGCGGGTAACTCTGGCTAGAAGTTTAACATTGAAATTACCAAGCCGGTCAAATATTGACCCATGTGTACTTGAAACTTCATCTTAAAATCCATCAACTATTAATAATGGTAATACTGAATGTTTGAGAACAACTACTATAATAGAGAATTAATTTGATTGATAAGTTAGTTTGCTCCCCCCACTAATTACAATGATATAGCTGTACGTATGATAGATATGTACTGATCTCGGTAGTTTTAGTGTTAAAGATGATATGTTCGTGTATGCCCTACAAACCACATTTGAATCGGTAGTTTGAAGAAAGATATGCAGACGATAATCGAAAAGTAAGATTTTGGTACCAACAATAACTTGAAGCTATATTTCATTCACCAAGAAAAGAAAAGAACAAAATATCAGTTCCCATAGGGGAGAAGTTTTGCTTTATGATTTTAAGAACTCCTAAATCCCATAAATCCTAGAATTATTTGCTTATTAGAACTGATACAGCGTTTTTACCTTTGCACTCCTCTCAGTGACAAAGATCTCTTCTGAAAGGTACAGATTTCGTTATTGACAAGTTCGTCGTTATTGTACGTTAATAAATATTCGTTATTGTACAAGTTCATCAAAAGAATATGTACGTAACTTGTAATAGTTTATAGTTCTGTAATTTTATAAACGCGACCAGTCAAAATTACGAAAAAGAGTATCCTCACATTTTCTGAATATTTTCCAATATTCTTTTCTCAAGATAATCGAGTATCGTCATATGTGGCCCACATTTCCAAATTTGAAAGAAGAGTCTTCCGACGTATATGTCGTACCAACACAAAAGAATAATAATGCAAGCCAAATCGGGAGGTGCTAAAGCCTGGATTTTCGCAATAAAGTTTTGTCGAAATTATTCTGGTGTACGATACTCGATCGATTGGGTTTGAATCCCTTATAAGTACTCTGAAAAATAAAAGCAGTATTTTCAAGAATACTCGAACCTTGACCAAATATTATATGTAGATTCGAATATTTCATACATTTATGATGAACGCTATAATAATACGAATTTTCAACCTTCTTACAATATTCTCAAGCATACGTTAAAAACTTACCAAATGTACAACCTTGGTAATTTTTAGAACTTTTTCATACATTTGAATAAACTCTAATAATTCGTCTACAACAATATATAACAGCAAGACAAGTTGGTCAGCTTTTGACAATGAAATCTAATTTAGTAACAAATAATACCATACCCAACTCAACTTCTGCTGTGTCTGAAATAGAAAATTATCGACCATCGCAATATTTAAATTGAAAATCTATCAAGTGAACGCGTGAATATCTTTATTTAATGGCCACATCCTTACCTTCGAAAACCATATTCTCAAAAGCAGGGAATATTATTCATCAAAAAAGGAATAGAAAAAGGAATAAAACAGGAATTGACTGCGACAAAACATTGTAAATAAAATATTTTTAAGCAGTTACAAATTCTGTTAATAAAATGCAATTATCAGTTATATATTTAATACTTTACTTAAATGCTTAAAACCTGTTGAAATACAATTCCAATTTCTGTGACTCGAATATTGCATACTTGTGAAAGGTTTGATTCTTTCTAACATCCAGCTACCTGTAAGTACCTTTGTGAAACTTGCAGGTACTCATTCCAATGTTCGATACTAACTTATATAGAGTGAATACATTTTGAGTATAATCATCGCAACCTTATTACTTTTGAGAAGTATTCGGAACGCATGAAATAAAACATGGATATTGAAAATGACGCAAATTCATGGATATACAAGGTGCGGCAGAAATAACTCCCACATTTTAAAAAACGATTGAAAAAAAATGGTACGAAATAACACCAGATACTTTTTATTTCTTAAATCTAGATATAAAAAAGTATTTTTTACTTTATGTTTTAAAAATTATGTCGTCCAAATGATGGCCTTTACAGGCGATACACATTTGGAGACACATCTGGAAAATTTTGCGCTGACGACGCCCTGTATAGACCGTAGCTCGGCGGATTTAAATCTATGTGACATTTTTCTGCGGGGATATGTCAAGACCGAGGTTTTCAAACATTGTCCTTGGTCCTTGAATTAAAGGAGGCCATCCGAAAGTAAATTGAAAGAATTTCCCCCGAAATGCTAGCGAGAGTAATGGAAAACTTTCAAGAACGACTCCAAATGTGTATCGCCCGTAAAGGCCACCATTTGGACGACATAATTTTTAAAACATAAAGTAAAACATACTTTTTTATATCTAGATTTAAGAAATAAAAGTATCTAGTGTTATCTCGTACCACTTTTTTTCTATCGTTTTTTAAAATCTGTGAATTATTTCTGCCGCACACTGTATATAGAACTTGACCCCATCCTTAGTTCTCCCTTTCCCTTAGGTCGAAAAATAAAGCTTGTAATTTAAAGAATTACGTCATTCGTATCTTAAGATTTAATCTCCACGCTCTTACCAAACATACACCAAGAGAGATGCTCGCATAGCGTCGCGCGTCGGTGCCAGGCCGCGTTGGTGCGTTGCATAGCTGGACTTCCGGTCGGAAGAGGCGAGCATAGCATCGGCAACTCTTGTACCAAGCGAGGCGGCGAACGATGCCGGAGCTGGTCGCATATCGTGGAGACGCGAGTCAGCGCGGTGCGGCTGTGGCGGCCAGGCACGTCCATCATCCCCGCAGCTACGCCGTAAGGTGGCAACATTACTCTCGCGAGAGAGGTTTAGTTAGAGGTAGAGTTAGGCGCAAGGGGCAATGCTACCGCTCGCGCGCCAACAACGCGCCGAGAGGGGAGGTTGTGTAGCGCTCTAGTAGCGTGTCAGCTAGCGATGGAGGGGATGAGCCGCCAGCGCTAGACTGAGCCAACCGCGACGCCTGGTGGGAGACGAGAGTCATTCTTCGATGGTGGGGGGAATGACAAGGTAGAACGAGAGCGAGCGCTGCAGGCGAGACCGAGACAGAGATAGAAGGCGGAGGGGGAGCGAGAGGCCGCCGAAAGCGCATAGCGGCCCATAATTCGGTGCGCCGCCCCGCAATCAGGTTCGTGCTTGATGTTTCCAACCGCCTCGCTCGTCGCAGCCGGGAGAGAGAGACGGTAGTGCACGTTTTTACGTTTGCTCGTCAACTCCGTCGTCTAAGCACGGTCTCGGGTATCGAAGCGCTCGGTGCTCGTTCGCGCCGTCACCTTTATTCGTATCTCGTTCTTCTCGGCTGCCTCGCGCGTCCCGTTGTTGTTTATACTCCGGGCAGCTGGCCGACAGACACCCCGTTCGCGCGTCGCTACGTACGTTCATACTCGCGGAACCGGAAGGGCAGCGGGTGTCACCGTGACGAAAAAGCACAGAAGTGTGAGGGAACAACCTGAATCGGAGGAAGAAGACGCAGGAACGCGGTGGCTCTATACGTTTATCGCCGGCAGACTCGTGACAGGATCGCGCGTCTGCCAGTCAGTCAACCAACCGACCATTCATTCGGTCGGTCGATCAGTCAGTGCCGGGTTATACACCACACACGTCCGCTAGTCACGAGTTCCTCGATGGTAAATAGCTCGATCGTCTTAGCTTGGTTTCGTAAGTGAAGAGAGTACGAGAATCTCGTGTTGTTACACGATTTGTGATCCTTCGACCAGGACTGTCGTTTGTTCCCCCGTGCTAAGCGCCCAAGGAAATGTGCTGCCACGGACACGGCCCCAGTGATTGATGAATTCGTGATACTTGCGTTGAATTCTCGTATCTTTTTTTTTATTTTTTTTTTTTTTTTTGGTGATTGTGCTGGTTCGCTAATGTACCTCGTCGTCATCGGTAAGACGGACTTCTCAACTGCTGTCTTGCGTCGATCGTTAGAACATCATCTTCCTGCTTCGCTGATTCGTCCACGTCGTCACGTAAATATAAAATAAAACACGCAATTGCATGTCCAAAAACCCGCGTTCCGCACATTCACACGTGTGCGCACGTGCAGGAACGTTAGAGCCGCGTACCCGCCGTCGTTACACGGCTGTGATTATCAACGAGTTATTACCGCGATACTAATTAAGTTTAATCGCAAGGCCGCCGTTCGTTAAAGTTAATTGCACGATCGACCACGGCCCACGTCGTTAACTACGTCGTCGCCGCTTGGCTACAGCCATGCTTTTATAGAAACTACGTAGGCTCTATCGAGAGGACGCGCGCCGGATAACCATACGATCCCTTTGCCGCTCGATTTTTCATCTTGCGTCATCGGTCCCTTTCCGGCAGAGTTGGCCAAAATTGAATAGGTATAATAGATGGCGAATAAAGGCAACGCGTAGAGACCTGCTCGTGACGTTCGTTCTTTTCGTTAATCATTCGGAGTAATGTTTATCCGTTTACCCGTGAAATATAATGTTCTTCTATCGTTCAAAATCTAATTTTTATTCAATAAATAGTGAATGGAAATTTATCTGTTATTCGTCATTTGACATTTTCATCTAAATTTTTCTTATTTTTATCATCACTCGTTTAGGTATCGAAGATAGAACAGATTTCTTTAGATTTATTAAACTTCGGAAATATCTGAGTTATGTCTATTATTAAAACCTTGATTTCGGGGCAATTTCGCGTCTTTTCTCTCAATCGTCCTACGATAGAAAAAATTGTTATAAAATAACAATGCAGTGATTAATATTTTTTATATTTTTAAGGGGTGAATTACTTTTTCCAGTCATAATTTGCAGTGACGTATTACAATTAAAGCGCTCGCATTCGTTTACTTGTTGAATTTTAACTCAACTTTTTGACTTACGATGGGGTCTGAAAATTTACCGTTCAACTCTGATATCGATAGACTGCGACCTAAATGTCAGGTACATAATCTTGAACTCAGACTACCGATGCATGAAAATAGTGCTTCATCTATAAGAATGATATTTTATAATAATTGTTTAATTAATAATATGGTCGACACACATGTATGTACAATTAATGATGTAGCGTATCCAACGGTATGTTCTTCAATTATTCATTACTTCTCCAAATAATTCTCGATGATTAATTTGTACACGTGTCGCTACATTTATCATACGAAATTTATTGGTGTCATCCGTTAGCGATGTTAAACTTTGAGTCAGTCTAAAAGAAGGCCTTCACCGTAAGCTGAACCATGGAATTAATAAATCCTTACTCCGTTCTGTGCTTACGACCAATAAGGAGTGGATACTTTCCTAAACACATTAGTCAGGGTTTTATATTATCGAGCAAAATAATTACTTCTCATTAATTTCTACAAACATAGTTTAATGTGTTTATTAAACGTTACGACCAGTTATGTATACTGTGATCCTCCAAGAGAACCACAGAGGATCTAGAGGAGCAAAAACGTTTCGATAATTGGTCGAAGCGTTTAATAAGCATGCACATTGAACTATGCATGTACAGCTATGAATTATGTGGATTCATTATCAATAATAACAAGCATTATATATTGCAAATATTACTATCGTCTAGTTAAAACTTGTAAAGTACGTCAATGCGGTATTTGTGTCGTATCATACATACATACACCTTGTAAACGTATTTCACACTTTTTTTTTTACAAATTAATTAACTTCGATTTAAACTCCGAGTCGATAATCCAGCAAGTCGCCGTGGTAATGGCATAGAAATGATAAAGGATATGTTTAAAAAAATAACTTAAGAGGAAAAGAGTATAACAAACATAAGCTGTTCCTCGTTTCCAAGAATATTTATGAAGAAAGTGATAGGGATATGCAGTTGACAAGCAAATACTAATTTCTTGTATGTAAATTGCTTTTATGGTATTTGCGATAAATTGTTAATAGAAACTGACAAACATGTCGAAGCATACTAACATATTTCTACTTATTTTGCTATATTTAGAAATTTAAATGCATACGAAACACTATCAAGAGAATATGACAAGTGTTTCGTGTGATCAATGAACATTTGCGCGATGTTTTTAAATCGACAGTTGACAGTTTGTAATGTTTCATGATCAGTACTACATTTGCGCACACATGAAGTCCTTGTGTTTAAAGTAATCTGTATTGCTTGTGTCTTGTAGCTAATAGAGTTTGAAATTTATACTATTCGTGAGAACTCAAATTTTTATTACGGACATAAGTACAAGAGTTAAGTAAATTATGAAATGTCTACGCGTTACAAAAAAATTCTAATCTATCATGTTCTGGCCATTGATAACCATAAACTATTCTAATTCTCACATGGATTCGTACAGCAACCAATTTAAAATAAATGGTCCCTGTACAAATACTTATTACACTGACCGTATATCGATTCCGATTAAAACTGTTATGAAAACTGAAAGAATTTTATAACTCATGAACATTACAATTCTTACGCATGTCAGTTTCGATTTTAATGCTTCAAGATCGATATTATATCGGTTCTATACGAATTACGGTTCCTATCGATTCTCCTATTTATTTCGCTATAACATTTATTTCTACACTATACTACTATATTTAGAAATTTGAATTACTCATAATTTTGTTACATTTTAATATTATAAAGAATATCATGAATCACTTTTGTAATCGCTTTCGAACGATATGGAGACAAAATGTTAATATGTATCCGTTAAAATTACATTGTATTGAGGGTTCATACATACCGTAGATAAAAAATCTCCTTTCGAAATACAGACGTTTCTTATATTTCTAACTATTCACAAATACAAATTCGGGTTTTTTCTCTTCTTGCGTCACCGACACATCTTTGCCAATTTTCTTACACCTCTCCAAGTAACAATTCTTCTGTTTCCAATCATTTCGTTGTAAGTCGTACGGGTTTTAGTACATTCATTAAATCGATTACTTTAGTCCACTCTAGTTACGGTAGCTTTAAACCTTCAAAGCGTATTTTTCGCAATAGCCTTTTAATTTGAATAATCTTTCCAACATATCATATCATGAGTGCCACCTTATTGCGCAAGCAAGTATTGCAGTGTTTGCATGTGTTGCTAGTAATTTTTGCAAACTGAATAGAAATAAATGTATATTAGTTGTAGAAATTAATTCTGTGTCTTTACATTCACTCATTTATAACTTTTATTCATGTTTAAGTAGAAATATTCACTTGGTATTTTGTTTCTACAACTATATACGTTCTTTGGTGTGTGTGACTGAGGGAAGATTCAAAGTTATATGATTTTTCTTTACTAATATGTGGTAAGTTTACTCTTGAAAAACGCAGAATTAATTTCTACATCTAATAATCGTACATGACACTTACAATATTTTTTTGCTTCTTATAACTGTTCCCAGAACCGAAATCGATATCATAACTGTTTTCAACCCCCGAGTAAAAGGAAGAGCTACACCTTTATTTCAAATAGTAATAAAAAATTAGTATGGAGTATAGTGTAGCAGAGACGATGAGAATATTCGAGTTTTTCTTAAGAGAATATAAACGATAATTTCTCTCAAAATATCTTTAATAAAAGATATTGAGATTTACATAGAGTATCGTATTAGACATTACGAATCGTACCGTATTTGACAACATTTTTGGCAAGCATAACGATCCGAACGGTAACGATGTCCTGAGAACAAAAAAAGGGAGACAGATAGCGTGAAGGGTCACGCAAACGAGACACACGCATATTAGACGGTCTCGTTACCGTTCGTATACTTGTTGCGATAAAAGGGGCGCAGGGAAGAAAGACACGAGTGTGAGGTAAATCGATTAAGGTATAATATCTAATCAAGAGTTCGATAACAGCGATTTTTCACGAATTTTTTTCGAAAAGCGTTTACATTTCGTTTATTGAATCTTTTTAAATTAATAGTAGATTTTTGTGTGTACGTTTATATATTTTTGTTACAAAGGTATTAATTTGTCGAGATGCTACGATTGATTTTCGAGAGCACTTTCAAAAAAGGTGTAACATTTTTAGTTTATACATTCAAGATTATGCACTTAATGAAAATGTAAAAACTGGAAAATCGATTTTTTTTAAATCATAAGCAGATGTAACGCCTTATCGTATAGGAAGTCATTTAAACGAGACATTTCAACAAAATATTCCTGAAATGATGAGAAATTAAAAACAAAGGACATTGTGACGTAATTAAAAGAAAATAAATAAAAAGAAACTACATCATTTCAAATAGTAGTAAAAAATTTATATTAGGTATAGTTGGGCTCAATTTTTTATTTACTTTTTACTTATACCACCATGATTCTATTCGTTCATTATCTGTTACTCTAATCAATTGCGTCCATCTTGCGACGAACAGTATTTAAGTTTTTCCCATGGAAAAACCATCAACAGAACAGTTCGATTCCACGTTCGAATTCGACACCACCCTTTGACTTTATGGTAATGCCAGAGTCGACTCTACGCACATGTCACTCCGGATCGTGGACTAGGAATTTATTAAAGTTCGTAAGCCGTTGCGGCACGTACGCACGTCCTCACATTGCGTGCGACGCGTGTGATCAATAAATCGAGCTGTGCAGCACGCACACAACGCGTGACTATATGCACGCACGTGGGGGTTCACACTGTTGCAATGCTACCTAAAACCGTAGTCCAAACGTAAGACCTTTTCTTCCCCCGTGGCTGCAAAACTGTATGGAACCGACACGGGACCCGCAGGTCGGAACCGTTCACGGTGCATAAAATTTCTTCGAGCAGAATCGACTCTCGTAGACCCACAATTTCGTGCGATATTCTCGGTACAAGAGTTTTGCGACGATCGGTACATTCGCGACAAAAATCTCAACTTTTAACGTACTCCGGGCCGGTTAAATATCACCTGGTGTAAGCGTAAACGACTGAAGAATAATTCATTTACACTTTGACTCTGGATAATGTAGATATGTGTTGTAAAGATTTTCATTCTAACTTACACTTTTTAATTTGCAATTATCAATGATT